CCCCAAAACCCCAAAACCCCAAAACCCCAAAACCCCAATAATAATTACACTTGTTGAACTAAAGTGTATTAAATAATCCAATTAGAATCAGTTAAGTACAAAGAGAAAGGGGGTTTGGAAGAAACGGGAGATCTGAAGTGTGCTTAAGGTCAGATTTTTAGGGATTTTAGGGTTAGCAAGGGGGTAGGGGGGTTAGGATGTGGAGTTGTTCCGTTTCTAGGGGGTTAGGAAGGGGTTACTTTTAGTTTTGAAGAGTTGTTAGTGACTGTACGGATGTACTTTCGGAAATATAGTCTTTTCTTTTCGCTATAGTTTGGTAAAGGGAGAGTACATTGGAGTCAGCTCTACTTTGAACTTATCATCCTGGTCACATGTTCTTTGGGGAGGAGCAGTTTCATCTGGGAGTAGCTTGAATTTCGCTTTACGGTCTTTCAACTTCTTAGATAAGGTTGGTGATGGAGCTTCTATTTTGGCAATTCTTTCGATTGGGGTGTCTATATCAATGTCATATTAGCCATAGCTATTTAAGGTAACACATTAAATAACTCTAATTAATTATTAGAGAGGTCTTAACAGTTCCTAAGTTACCTATATCCTTAAAAGAACTTGGACACCAGTCTGTTCAGTGAAGGAGGACAAAGCTAGTGGAGAAGATGTAGGCTTTGGTAATTCTAAAGAGTTATTAGAGCAAAGTACCATTGAAATTGTTGCATGAATGCTTATACAGAATAGAGCAGAAATTTATATCGTTAGCCAATCGTTTTATTCCTTCTTCATAATCATGCATTTTTAGTTCTCCAAAAGTGAAGTAATGTTCTCTTTCTTTATTTATAAAGATTTGCTTCGTTTAGATATCTAATGTAGCTATTTATTTCTCTTCACATTTGCCTTCGCCTGCCCTATTGTGATAAAAGAATCATTTTTCAGAATCTGACTTAAAGAAATACTGCATGCATAGTCTTTCATAAGCTTTGATTTCATACTTGTAGTTATCATACTTCCATCCAAACTGAAGGAGTTTCTTGAATGCAAAGATTGCTATAGACTTAAGCAAGTTGTATACCTTGATCATACTTCTTGATGGCCTGGTATGCCTCTCCAATCTTTAACAAAGAGAACAGTACACAATCTGAATCCTTGGTTGTTTTGCACATGTTCCTTAAAGGCTCATAGAACTGTATAGCTTCTGAGTATCTGTTTATCTTGAATCAGAGTTTTCCTCCCTTCTTGTAATACTCTTTGAGGAGAGCATAATCAGGTATCCTCAAACAGACATGGATTATGTTCCTAGTCATCTTGATTGCCTCATTATATTGCTTGTTATCGATAGTGAGTGTTAATATCTTGTAAAGAAATTGGTAGGTTTAAAAAATTCTTGCTCAAAAGTATTAACTTTAAGAAAAATAAAATTTTCACTAAGAAATCTTTTGAAATTGTTAAGGTTCATGTAAAGTTGCTATTTATGCTCGATTTTTGCTGAGAGCCAAAGATTTGGTTCAAGATATCTTACTATAGAAATCTTCAAAGCTAAATATTAAGTCAGTTAAGTCTTACCTCCGAATATAATTTTTGATTGAATTATTTGATCACGCTGACATTATCATGTATCTTCATGTTCAGTTGCTTCGAGCTGAACTTAAAGAACTTGATGCGTGAAGTAGAGGATGCCTTGGATACATTGGAGCTAGGAGTCATTGACAACAATGAAACTGTTTTCTGTAATATCCTTCTTTTCCTATCATCCTCACTCTCATCTTTAATGGGTTGGGTCTCAACAGAGTTCATCTTAGGAAGATCTTCTTTAAATTCAGAGCTATTTCAAGTCTTAGAAATTTTCAAAGAATGCTGATCCATATATTTAATGTAACAAAATGTCAGCTTTCTTAACAAATATAGTGGCTCAAGAGAGTACTTACACTTCAGAATGAAGCTGGCTGAATTTCTTAATTCTAGAATAGTTATAAACGAAGCTTACGGATTGATGCTGCTCTTCACTCCTTTCTTTCTCTTCATAACAATCCTAGGGGTAAATAGCTGGTCTTTGTTGACCTCCAGATTTCTCGGAGTCATCAAATAGTTTGAAGGATTGTTCACGATATAATTATTCATTTTTCTATGATAGGAAATAATTCATAGAATTAACCTACTTTTGTTTCATTTTCATGTTAGAAACAGGTGTATTCGTATTATTTCTGGCATTCTTAATTTTCATACGCTTTATGAACAACTGAGTAGGGTTCTGGACTACAGCCTTGGAGTTCCTGGTTGTTTCCAAGGTGGCCATTGATCCAAAATGCCTTCTATGCTTCTTCCTCTCGCTCTATTTCAAGGTCAGGGGTTGTAAGATAACATGAACAATTTGTCGAACATTATTTAAAATGAATTCCTTTTAGGGGAAGATTTAAGCCTTATCTCTGATGTGTGACAGGGAATAGGTATCATTAAAAATATCGAAATTACCCCAACTTCTGTTAAACTTGGCATTGTCTTATTCTTAACAAACATGCTTCCTCTTGAAGATTTCATGTTGATTATATTCAATTAATATAAACTTCACTGGGGTTTTGGGGTTTTGGGGTTTTGGGGTTTTGGGG